TAAATTGTTTAAAGTCTATTCGTGAATTTTCCCGAGTCTAAAAATCACTTTCATTTCGCAGTTAATCGCCGTTCGTTTCTACACCATTCATTTCCGAGCAACTTGCCATAGAAATTACCAAACGCAACCTGCGTTATAATCCAAATACACAATAGTATGATAGCATTACCGATGCAAGCAAACAGTGATTAACTACAAAATGGAAGAGCTTATTAGTCTAAGAGATAACTTCTCATGCTGAAATTCTACGGTGTGCATAGTAAATATTGAACAGGAATAATGCATTACGTTTTTGGATCTATTATTCTATCACGAATATATTTTTAATGAGATTATTTTTACTTTTGTATTAAATAGAGGATGAGCAATAACCTCCTAATTAGAAGAAGAGTTTTATTTCAAAATTCAAAAGATAGAAATCATAACAGTTATGTTTAACTGTTTTTATAAATTATTTGTTAAATTTATAACTCCTGGACAATAAATACATTGAAAAACTTTCGCGAAAACACCTAATTAAATTATCTAGAACCATCTTGTAGATTAATTTTCCAACTCTACATAATTATACGCTTACAAATGTAACACATATGTTAAATTACGTGTTACATAGCGATTATACGTATCATAAAACTAACAAAAATAAATAAATAAATGCTTAATTTCGTTTCTCTTAAAACTAAAAAGAAGTTAAATATATTTTTCTAATAACTAAAAAAGACACACAAATTACAGAATTTCAAAAATATTACAGTAGAAAATAACTGCAGGCAACACGATTTCTTTGGCTTAGAAGAAATTATACAATGTCAAAGCCTTAGGGAAAAGACATTCAAAGGTCTTGTATGAGATACAGAAAAGTGAAGTAAAGAAAGTAACTGTTAGGTTAAAAATTTTCAAAACATAATGATTCTGTTTTTAAAAACCAAGATAAATATACTGTATTTATATAAAAATATAAACAAAGAAAGAAACATCGAAATGAGCTATAAAAAATGAAATAAAAATGATTGAAATGCTCCTCAGAACACGTTATAAAACATAATACGATCATCAAACAAATCATAGAGAATAATAGCAGAAATACTCTCACTGGAAATATGTAGACGTTGAAATTGTTGATCATTAGAGTATAATAGAAAGTAAAATATTCAAGAATTATCTAGCATTAAAGATATAATAGAAGATTAAATAATGAAAATACATCATTTGTGTGAATAAAATTATAGCTGTTTTTATATAATTTAACTACTTAAATTACATATAAAATTTAAATTGATGATTTATGATTAAAGTAAAGCTTCCGCTAAAAAAAAAATTATATTAATCACTAATTCAAAATTTAAAACAATTTCAATAATAGCTTTAAATGAAGCTTCTAAATAATCAATAATTATCACGTTTATTAAATTATGCCTTTATTACGTATTCCAAATCAAATCAAATAAAATAAAGAGGACGATTTATTTTATTTTTAATACAGATTTAAATTGCTTTATAAATATTCAGACTGACCGATGTACTTATGTGTGTTATTAGTTTTATAAAATTAAATTTATTTATCTGTGTTTTTTTAGTTGATGAAGATTGCTCCCTTCACAAAATTCCTGGATCCATTACTGCGTTACATCAAACTGAAATTACAAGAACGTTAAAAAAAAAATACTAGATTAGAAAGGATATATTTCAAAATCATACAGATAGCAGAAAAATTGTTTTATTTCAGATTATATTCGCTTATTAAAATAAAATTCATAAACTTTATACAGTTTTATGAAACGATGTAATTTTAAAATCAATATTTCACATCATAAAAAACAAGTTTCTAGATGAATTAATAATCTTCAACCTAGAAAAAAAATCGTCATTTTTTAGTCGATGCCGAGAGATCTCTTTTAAAGATTAAAACTTTACAATATGCCTGAGAAGTTTTATGAATTTTTATTTAATTTTAACCTTGTTTTAACTGAACTTTCGTAAAAATAATTTCGTAGAAAAGGGAAAAAAACTGCATTGTTTTTATGCTTATTTTAAAGAAAATATGGTAAATTAATTTAAATCATAGAAAATACCTAAATTCAAAGTCTAACAATCAGATATATGCATTATTTTTTTTATAAACTTTAACATTTATTGATTTGAAGTTATTAAAGGTAATTAGCTTTTTTATTTTATTTTTGGAATGATAGTTAAAAATCGACGAAGCAAATTTTTGAAGTTAAACTTTTTTTTTTATCTTTTAAAACAGAAAAATAGCAAAAAATATTAAAATTTATTAGCGGCTATTTAATATTTTAATAAGAAAAATTTCAAAGATAAAATTTTCAAAAATATATCCATCTCAGCTTCATGGAGCTCAGCTAATTAAGCAATTTTTTATCATCATTTATAGCAATTCACATTGTAAGTTGAATAATAAAATTTCAACTTCAAAAGTTTTATTTATTACGTTATATTTCAACTATAAGCAATTTAAATTTGTTTTAGATGAAATCTAACTTTCACACAAGTCAGCGATCATAGTCAGCAAAGTTATAAGCGATAAGTCAGCAAATATGTTTAAAAAAAATTATATAAAAGCATAAAACTGAACGGATTGTTTTCATAAAACGATTTCTAGATAAATATGCATTTTTTTATTTTTTATTTTTAAATCTTTAAAGCCCGAATATTATATTTAAAAAATATAATAAATTTAGCAATATTTCTATAGAGATATATCCTGTTATTTAATTTGTATCGAACACTTGCTGTTTCTCGAACGCAATTTATATTTACAGTACCTAAAGTAGAGATGTATACCTCTTTCAACTTTAAATAAGCTGAATTTCTGGATAGCTTCAACCAGATTTTTAAAAATAAAATTTTTAGTACTAGTCTTTTCATTGGAGTTGCTGAGAAATCACTCGTAAACCTAAATGAATATTGCACCGGAAAAGACTATATCATGAAGAGTGCAGACATTTAAGCACATCTCCACGTACGCAGATACAGAATTTAAAACTATCACGTATTATTTTACATTCATCCTTTATAAAATGCAATATAAAAATCGGAAATAGATAAAGCTTAAAAAATTTTTTTTTAAATGCTGATTAGAGAATTAAAAAAAAATAATAAAATAAAATAAAAAGGAGACATGAAAAATTAATCCTCTCACTTGAGTTACTGATGATAAAATGCAGGGAGCAGAAAACAATTTTCTCCTTTCAGTATTGTCTATGGAAAATCCTGACATTTTATTGACCTTTCAATTGAGCTGTTTTAAAGTTCGGTCATGTTTTTAGATTTAAAATGTTTAACCAATTAGCTACAGAATTGAATCAGATAAAAAGTTCTTTAAACGCTATTGCAACTTTTCGGAAAAGATAAATATATCGATTCCGTTTTTAAATAAAGGAAGGCAAATATAATCGAAACTTATAAAGGTTTAAAAGTGTACAGTACATTAAAGCTTCGAGAAAAAAAAATAAATTTAGTTTTAGGCAATTGCAAAAAGTTAAACTTGATTTTCTACTCTCTTCAGACTTATCAATCATCGATGTAATGATCATTTTTCTTTTTATATATATATATATATATTTTATCGTTTTTATTTAAATGAAAATAAAATTATTGTCGATTTTATTACATGTTTTATCGATAAAATTTAATCATATATTATTTTATTCTTACTTTATTTAGTTTATTTTTTTAAATCTACTCTTTAAAAAATCTAGTTTTGGCGTGTAAAATTTTATCGATTAAACCTTGGCAGGATTATTTGTATCGCTCGAAAGATTTTAAACATTATACTTAGTTAATAAAATTATTAAAAATATATATTTAATAACTTCATATTTTATTTTTATATAATTATGGGATTTGTTATATAAAGGAGCTATGCTATGTAAGAATTATGTAAACTCGTGCTGTAATGCATTAATATAAATTTCTTATAATAAATAAATAAATAATCCGAAGCAAAACAATCAAAATTTCTGTTTCTAAATATGAACTAAATTAAATTCTTAAAATTTTCTATACGTTTATTGAGTTGTTTCTGTTTAGTCTATAGAAAATCTATGAAATTGCGTTTCCAGTTATTCTCTATTTTTAAAGAATAATTAGAACAATAAACTTTCAATGCGGAAGCAAAATCAAGATAAAAGTCGTTTAATTATAAATAATATATAATGAAAGCGAAAGTCTATTCATCTTCACTAGCTTAATTTACTGAAAATAAACTAAATAAACAAATTCATTAACTATGAATCATTTTTAATTTAATTTTAAATTAAAATTACTTTACAAAAACACAACAAATTAATAACAAGGTAATTATTTTTATATCATATTCTCGTCAGTTTTTAATTTTATTTATGCTTTGAAAATTTCAATAAATTATTATTAGACTCTAATATATTTTTTTAGAGAAGATATTTTTATATTACTTTAATTCTTCATTATCCAATATCACATACACTCAAACCGAAAAGATCATAATTTAATTGAGTCCCTGTACCTTTTATTAAATGATATCTAATTTAAATATTAATTGTATAACATGTTTTACGGCATATAAGACGAAACTTTTGTCCAAAAATCGCCTTACGAAGTTGCTACGGGCTAATGAATTCTCCAAACGGCCTTTAGTAAGCTACAGATAACCTCTACCTTGTCCGACTCTTGAATAGAAATGTTAATGTTTAATTAAACATATTATTATTATTACTTTTTTAAAACCAGAATACAGTGAAAAAATTGGGGCCGACTGCCCAAAGGCACAAAAGAACTTAAGCAAATTAATACTTTTTCTTAAATATTCAGTGATGAAATGGGAGTTTGTCTTATATATCGTAAAATACTGTATTTAATACTTCCATTATTAAATATATATTTAGAAGCAATTGAAAGGGAGCAGAGACTAAATTTTCAGCTTATATGTGATTATAACCGTAGGAAGTAACATAAACCAGTAGTAGTTCCATTTAGAGATATCAATTCTCACTAAAACTTACTTCGTAAACTGAGTGGTTCCAGACAGACGGAACCTCCGCATGATGTTTTGCAGCATTTTTCATTACCTTGGCATTCGTGATCGTGTTCGCATTGACTCGTACAATTATTTATTAAATAGTCGTTCGGGCATTCACCGATCTTGTCCGCATAACTCTTACCTAAAAAATTAATAAATATAGATATGAATTCGAGTTTATTATTATTATTTTTTGCAGTGATAACAAACAATAAACCTTTGTTAGTGACGTCATGTATTTCTTTATCGGTACAATTTAGTGAAACGCAACAAGGGTCGTCCGGAATTGTAACTTCGATGCACTCGGGCCTTGAATTTCCTGATTTAGTATAAGGATGCAAACATCTACTTCTACATTCTGTTTTATTACTTCCTTTGCAAATACACTTTAACTCACAACCGACTGTAAATTCCTTGGAAACTCCGTAAGTAGAATTATCGTATTCGCAACCATCTGAAAAATCAAATTAATAAATTGGGTTTTATCGATTTGATAACATTTTATAGATTTAAATTTAAAAATAAAATATTTATTATCTTTACGGGAAATGATCATTTAGCTCAATTGTAGATTTATTGGTGACACTTCACCTCTTGACTTTTTACTGAACCATCGTAATAAGGGTTCAAGTGGGTTAAGATGATTTATTTAAAATTACCTTCGGTGAATATCGTGACAATTTCCGACGAGGAACCGAGTTTCTTGGCCTCTGAGTCTTCCCAAACCAAAACTCTAATTTCATAAGCTGTGTACGGTTTCAAATTATTGATAGTCATTAACGGTGTATTTCCTATCTGCAAAAGAAAATATAAATATTATTGTTTCTAAATTATTCTTCCGTGTAACTTTCTTTATTTACTTTTAAGAGGATTCAATCGATTATTTTTCTAAAAAAATATATACATATATTTTATCGCTTCGTTGATCATCCAAAGAAGAGTTGACACCGTTCGCTTCGGGTCAATGACCTACTTAGGACACGGTTCCATTTATTTATATTTGTTACTCGATAAATAGTAACTATTTTGTGAAAATTAAAACTCGTACCATGCTAATAGTAAACGCTCTCTTGATTATTTTCCCACAGGCCTAATGTTATGTGTGAAAGCCTCGACATGTAACAAAATCACTCTTCCTTATTATCCCGACAAATTATTCTTATATTCCTTGGCATACTATTAATAAAAACATACTTAAATATTCGAACAAAATTATTTTTAAACGAAAATATCCATTAAATAACTCTTCGCCGATTAATCAATGAAATCGAACAGTGCAACATCTAACATTTTTTCCAAAATGTCTTACTTTATGCAGTGTTTTAAGAATAGATTTGGGTTTAAATTAAACAATGATTTGTTCTTCAAAATATAGTTAAATAAAAGAATAAAATAAATCTTAAGTACTTGAATTTGAGTCCAATTTTGATCTTCTCTTCGACGATACTGGACAACATATCCGGATTCATAATCGGGCAGTTTAAAATCATCCCAAGCCAGAGTTAATGAATCGGGAGTTTTTTTCGGAACCAATAATTTCGGTGGCGTTGGCAAAGGAGTATCTATAAATGAAATTATAAAAGCAAATATAAATAGCGTTGACTAATTAGATTAACGATAATCGTTATTTTTGCAAAATTTATTTTAAGAAATCAATCTGGAAAACAATTGCGAATATTTTAAGGAAAAGTATATCAGATAGGCTATTGTTAAAAGAATAATAAATAATTTTTAATATGTATGACATTTTTCACAAGTGAGATATATCTTCAATTGAAAACTAATCAATAATACTGTAACTGGTTTCAAAGAATCCGAAAATAATTTATCAGCTATTCGCTTGGACGATCACATTGAGTCATGGAAATAGTGATTATCATGGAACCATCTCATCATTCTGTTTCCCATCGCTAACAGGAAAATGGTTGTAACCTCTGACCTCAACACACTCGTGGCTACATCGCCACTGAAGTGGAAAAGTCGGGACACTGAAGAATTCCCGGAAATAAGGAAAACTATCACTACCTTTACAATGATAGACGACGCAACATCGATCGGTCTCGTCTGGTAATTCTTCACATGATGGATCACTGATAGTGCCTGGACGGAAGTTGCATCGTTCCCGACATTCCGTTTTGCCATTCTGCATGCACGTGCACGTTTGATCACATCCCACGTGGAATACTTCACCAAGACCTACGTAAGAAGTATCGTTGATGCTGCAACCGTCTGTAAAGACAAAATTGTCTTTCAAAATCGAATTTATAAATTTTTCTTCTGTAAATCAATTTTTTTACTATTACAATCGTATCAATAAAGCATGAAGAAAAAAATATAAAACTCTAGACAGTAGTAATATATATTTTTCACAATATCATTTAATACCATTAAATATCCCTTACATTATCATAAAACAAATGAATAACTTTTATTAATTTAAGTTTATAATTTATTTTTATTTGCCATAACTACAGTCTATTCTAAAGAAAACCGTTATAAACATTTTTGAACAAATAATATATCGTATCCTATTTAACTAATGAATCAAATAATCACCTTTCGTTTTAATTAGAGCAATTTCACGTCCATCGACTCCTTCCACTTTCACAAAATACTCGGTATTAGGCCGAAGATTCATTAATTTAGCAGTTCCTTCGGATGACTAGAGGAAAAAAGGAATAAAATTTATACATTTTGAAGAGGAAACGTTTAAAGGTTAAGTTCTATAATAGGCCAGGAAAACGTTAAATTATTTATGAATATTAGGCTATCATCTGGGGATCGATTTCGTCCTATTTTTTTTTTTTTTCTTTCTTATCACGACTAAAGGTAAATGGCTTCAAGGCAAGAACTTACTTCAACATCTAACCAGATGGTCTCATTGCCCTTGTAGTTGTTTGAGTAAGAAACTGTAGCATTTTTTGAATTTCTCCATCTAATAGACAATGAGTTGTGAGTAGCTTCTGTCCTTTGTATCATTAAGGGACCTGAAAAGTATAAATCGATGTAAAGAAATAAAAATTTTAAATGCCAAATAATATTTGGAAATATAATAATAATAATAATAATAATACTCTTTCAGGAAGAATAATGTGCAATTATTATTAAAATATCTCGAGTGATANCCATTTTAGACTTTCAATTAAAATAAATTACTTTGTATAATTAAATATAAATTATTTACTTTTAATTTTATTAAAATACAAAATAAACAAATTCATTTTAATAACTAACTTTAGAAAATATTTACATTTACACATCTACAGAGTATAAAATATTATATTTTTACATACAATGTAACATATAAAAGGATTCAAATCTTGCTATACAGTGAAGTTTTTAATAATCCTAAAAATATTTATATTCTGACAATAGACTTATAAATATCATCCTTAACACACTTACGAAATATTAATCAGAGTTAACATTTTCTACATTCCTACTATAAAAATCCGGGACCTTTTTTTTATACAGAACTAATACCGTAAAAATCCTACCGAATCTAGATTGCAATTTGATGGTTCTGTCTTGTATTCGAAGTAGTTTAAGGCCAGGTAATTGCCTAGATCACAAAGTCCCGTCAATCTCCAACCGTTAAAAACGGATCTCTTGTTTTTTTTTTTTTTTTCCTTCTTCTTCCAGTTAAGAATCGCAGCCAGGATTATAGCCGGCTAGAGGCGGTGATTGCTATCGCTGTATATAAAGCTGCAGAATAGACACTTGGATGTGACCTCAATATTCCATCTTTAAATCTTGCCACACACGTTGTTTTAGATTCTGATAGCTTCTTTTTGTTTTAAGAATGGTCTATAGTCTGGCGCCGCACTAAATAGACTAAATGGTAAGTAATTTTGAATACTGGGAACTATGTGGGTCGAATACTTTTATAACTTATCAAATTGCGAGCGGTCTTTTTTTATTACTTCAGATAGAGACTACTACTTTATTGAATCTTTTAATGAATATTTCGGCGGAGATCAATAAATGCATTGGTATTCGTCAAATGGCATTAGTTAAAAAAATATTCAGGGATCTTTGATGTTTAAGCTGTTTTATAGGTAAAATTTTTTTTATCTTTTTTTTTTCCTCGTCATCTACGTCGAAACTTCAATGCCTATAAGTATTATTGAAGGATTCGATTATAAGAAGTACTGAATGACACCTTACACGAGATACAACAGTGAAAGAAATCACCAAATAAACTAGGCTTCAACCTGTTTCCTGTTTCTTAATACTTTATATCCTTTGTAAAGAACCTTAAAGCACTTGGTAATTTCCTTTGCTATGGATGTTAAAGATTTTTTACACGGAGATTTATACAGATAAATACGTATAAAAACATAAATAATGTTCCTTCTGCTGTTGAAAAATTGTTATTTAATTATATAATATAATAAGAAAGAATTAATATTAAATTATTATTTATTTTTTTTTTTTTGAAAATGCGATAGGATATAATAAAGTATAAAATGTTGCCTATGGGTTATTATAGAATATGGGAAGAGATGGAGCGGAAGAAATTCGCCCCCGGGGCGCTAATGCATAGAGATAATACAATTGTCACCTCAATTCTCCGTGAAAATGAGTTCCAGAGCGGTTTTTTTCGAGCAAAGAAGAGCCGCTGCTCCACCCATTTTATATAAATATGAAACAATTTTATTCATGCTTAAATGAAAAAATAGTTGAATAAGATGATAAAATATGACTTCTTACAGCTTGACATGTCGTAAAACTTAAAATGTAAATAATTTCTATATCCAAAATGTCTGCTATTGACAGCGGCGCCAGACTGAGGAAGTTGTGCAAGGCAGAGAGGCTATCAGCATCTAAAACAGTACTCGGCATCATGTGCAAATGTCACGACAGAACAATCGCATTCAGCTGTGTACCATGTAGTGCAGAGGATGAAATCGATAATCGATAGTGATGAGGGCACATCGAACAGCTATGTTAGCGTGTTGAAGGGCTGGACCTGCTCTATAAATTCCGAAACAATAGGACCCTAATGGAAATTTCTCCCTTGCTATTCTCTTTCATGTTCATCTTAATGTACTAAATAAATCTACACTTATACTAAGATTTACGAGTAACTTACAACAAAGTTTTGCTTTGTTTCGTATAAGTTTACAATTACAAAGAATAAGTAACGATGTTGATTGATTTTTCGAGCAAAAAAAAAAAAACAGTTTAATTTATTTTTAAAAAATAAATTAAGCTCTTTCTTTTTGTTACCACAGTTGTCTTTTGAAGGAATTTTTTCTTCTTCTTCTTCTCCGATTCTGATTAGTCATTTTTTTTGTAGCATTTTCATCTTAAGCATAAAAAAACTATCAGTTAGATACTATATTAGTCTAATTCGCTCCACGGTGCAGCTGACGTTTCTTAATTGCATTGATGCAGTTGCCTGGGCGATCACTCCTATCATCCGTGGCACATCCGACAGTTGGCACAGGCATAACAATCAATTCATACCCAATATAAACGTTAACTTAACCATGACGAAAAGGCAGGTGATACTCGAATGTCGATGGCAGAAGACAGCAAATTGTCCTTCGCACAGTAAATATTTAAAAGTCTAATTTTTTATTTAAATAAAAAATAAAGATCACGTACTGTTTGTGGGATACAATACTTAAACGAATAGAAATTCTCTTAAATTAAATTACATCAAACAATTTCCTTAAAAGAAAATTATTTACCGACTCCTAAATTTGTTTTCCATTCGTTAAAGTTATGCAATTGTGAAATTGCACTCTTGGTTTTCTTTTATTGTATATATCAACAAGTATTTGGAGATAATCATTGTTTGTTTAACAAACTTAAATAAAAGGAAATTTACTTCTTTCTTTCTCTAACCCTTCTTTTTTTTCGCGTTAGGCTATTGTAATCTTATTGCCTTCAATGTACTACAGATTCTTCTATATGCAAAACGTGGATAGCCTAGCTATTTTGAATTCAGTTGAACGGATAAATAGAAAAGCACATTTTCTCTTTTCGGAGAATTTCATGCAGAAGATTCGGGCTTAGTATGCACTAGTATCACTCAAAAGAAAAAAAAACAAACATTATAAGCCTTAACAGCATAAAAAGAATACGTTATTATTCCGTCGTATAACCTACACAATATTGTGTGTGCTTGACTTAAGGCAAAAGAAATGGATCTGGAAAAATATTACATTTATTTAAATTAGCAATAATGGCATTTATCGAGAGTTTAAACGTGCTGAAATATTGTATACGCACGTCTGCCTGGTTTAAATGTTAATTCGCGTACCGAATGCTCATCTAAAGTTAATGACCATTTACAACCTAAATGTTTACATGTCAAAACATATATATTTTACATAAGTTAAATCTAGAAACAGAGTAACGTAGAAGATCGTTCGGACCGTATCGTGTAAATTTAATATGGGTAAAGAGCTCGGTACAATGTTTAAAAAAGGAAGACATTCAGTTTTATTATTTGTTTAATCACTAGGCAAAGACATTTTCCAGAACCGATATTAGACAAGCAGGCTTTCACTAACATGAGGTATATGAGTCAGCCATTAAACTAATGAGAAAGAGGACTGCTAGATGTTAATTGTATAACTACCAGACACATGAGTCATCGTTCTTTCTATGAAGTAACTTAACGAAATTGTCTGTGAAATAGGTCTTCTAATTCTATTTTGAAATTTCTTTTGTATGTTTGCTATTATCAGTATACTACTCTTATCAATTTTCAGAGAAAATTTATATACATATATATATAAATTTTTTTTTTCTGCTTCCTTTATTTTTCCTCCCTCTCCTCTATTAATAAAACAAAAGTCGACATAAAGATTCCATTATAGAAGATTTCTTTCTTTTAAAATTGTCCAATTTATTCGACTCTCCTCATTCTCATCCTGACGGTCGATTTGACTTTATTTTTAATAAAGATGCGACTCCTCTTTTCTTTTCTTTTTTTTACCTCTGAATAAGAAACAGCATTAAATTCTGAATCTCAAATAATTATTAAACATATGAAATAAAGAGGTTTCTTCTTCTTTCTTTTTTTTTTTTTTCTTATATTTTTAATTAAGAAAATCGATGTCACTTTTCCAGCATCCATCGCAGTGTGTAGGAATATAAACTATCCGTCGGATGAACGATAAATATGGAAGAAAAATGTAAAAATCGGATAATGCATGTATTTCCACTGTAGTTTATTCACTAAATGCCGGACCATGATATTTATGACTGCTATTCGTGGGACTTGCCAGAGGCATACCGGATTACTACTACAGAGAGCGTCTTGTGGGTTAAAGCCGCTATACCACACACTTTAACCGTCTCACCCCTCCCGCATGTCGTTTGGGATAGCATAAACGAAAGCATTTACACACACAAACACACACGGGTGGTAAGTTCCCGACAGGCTTCGGGCAATATTATTCTTCTATCTAGCTTTGTTTCTATGGGATTTCTATGATGCTGCGTACTCGTGTGTCTGCACATCAATCTGTCTCTTCGAACTCGTCTCTTCTCTTATAAATGTTTAATTAATTTAATGGTTAAAGTTACTATTTAATGTGTCTTAAAACGTTTTAAACCAAAATTATGTCAATTAGAATCTTAATTTTGTCTTATTACGATGCAATTCCAGGCACTTTGGAAAGAAAATGATCAATTGTGCAAATTATACTAAAAGTTAATAATATATTTTAGATAAATAGGCGTATTTGTCATTCTTGTTGCTTTACAATTCATTTGCCGGTACTTTACTTCTTATGGAAAATGATTAAAGTGATTGTATCTGATTACAATTAGTATATAACTTATACCTGGTCACTGTCTACATCCAACAGTAATTATACTCTAGTGATCAATGATTATTCCATACAAGTATGGAATAATTATTGATCACTAGAGTGTAATTGTAATCGGAGGATGGCGGAGCGACTCTCCATTTTACTAATGTACAGCAACGGATATTAGGCTTGTCGTTTGGGAAACGAGCCAA